AATAGAGAGGGAGAGAGAGATAGAAACATCAATGATGAGAGAGAATCATTGATTGGCTGCCTCCTGCACAACCCCAATTAGGGATGGAGCCGGAAACCCAGGCATGTGCCCTGACCGGAACCGAACTGTGACCTCCTGGCTTATAGCCTGAGCCACGCCGGCTAGGCAATGATTTCTTCTTAACTTAGCTTCTTGTTTAAGACTAATGATCCTTCTCTTATTTTCTAGGAAATCTTTTAGATGATTGTTTTTAAACATTTGTTATTTTTTACTATTGTCTACTCTTTCCACTATTCAATATGACAACGACTTGCAGTTATTAAAATAAACTGACAGTTTTAATAATTCAGCTCTAAGTGTAATAGTTATAATCCCTTCAATGGTTATAATATTTACTAATAGTACTACAAAATAAAATGTATTATGGAATAATCTAAAAACTATGACTTTAAGTAGAAGACTATTAAGACTATATGGAGTCTCAAAAAAACAAATTTAAGTATCTGATCCAATAAACTATATTACCCAACTTATAAATCATGAGACTGTCACTTAAGAAAATAGAATTAACAAAAGACTGAAGCAAAATATCTAAATCCAAAACCAGTGAACAAAATATATCACATTTGAACAATAAACTTAATGTTCTTCTAGCCAATCATTTCTCAACATCCCTGTCAAACTATTTTCAGGGTCTGAAATCTTGCTCTATAAAAAGCAAGTTCCCATCATCTGAACTACCCGAGGTTCTATCACAGCAGTTACGGAAGCACACGCCACGTTTCAAACTTTTGTTTCCTATTAGTCCAAAAAAAATGCTTATCCCTTTTACATAAAGTTGAGTCTGTGGCCAAAATCCTGACACACTAGGAGATCTGGTTTTCAGCTCTAACACTAAAATGTCAGTTTAGCAAAAGGCCTTTGCTTTATCTGCCACTAAGATTATATGGTGATAGTTTCTGACACCTCCACCACCAACAGTCTCTTCAAAAGATTTCTGACTTACTTAAGAAAATATAAAGCTATGGCTGAAAACTCCTCAATAAAAAGTGAAACTTTAAAAATCTAAAACAGGGCTATAGGTTAGCTAATAAACTATGAATTACGGAAAGGGAGATTTGAGTAACAATTGCTAAAAAGAAAAACTTACGTAAGTTTACAAAGATGAATAAGCAAACAGCACACCAAAATTTAAATCCTTCTTAGCAAATAGAGGAAATAAATAATATGGAGTCACACTGGGACATCATGGTGTTATTTTTGTTATTTATATGGTCTGCGTGCATCAATGTTACTATTCTCCCACTCCTCCAAAAGGAGCCCACTGTCCAGGAGGCTTCGTAGCAAGTGCTCAGTGTATGTGACAACTAACAGGAATAGAAGCAACTTTTAAAGCCAGAATTTATAGCAGACCGAGGCACCCGCATTCGGTGCAAGGCACATGACAGCATGCAACTACTTCTCCCCCTGACGCTTCTGCATCACCGCCTCCCGAAGGACTAGGTCTGCAGCGCTCACTGCCACATCCACTATTAAAGGATCGCGATCAAAGAGCTCACGGGTTCTGTGATCGGTCCGTATTCATGAACGAACCCCAAGACAGAAACTGGTCCAGATGCAACGAAACATGCTTTCAAGGCTCTACCTAACTTTTTTTTAAAATTTTAGGAACATGCATAATTGTTTTTAAAACATCCTATACAATAATAGACATATAATAATAGACAAACATGCAAATTAGCCATCCCTCTGCTATGCTAAGCCACGCCCACCAGCCAATCTAGAGTGATATGCACATTAACCCAACAAAGATGGCAGAGGCTGGAGCCGGGATACTTGCATTGCAGCCACAGCTACCATGCAAGCATCCCAGCTCTGGCCGCTCCAGGCCTGTTGGAGACACAGAAGTCAGGGGAGACAGAAGTCCGGCTCCAGCGCCTGAGGCTGGCTTCCGCCCCGGAGATGAAGAAGCCGCCTGCCCGGTGATCCCAGACCACAGCTGGCCAGAGAAGCTCCCCACACTGCATCACAGGGGACACAGAGAAGCCGCGCACCTGTGGTCCAGGCGCCAGACAAGCCACCCGCCCCGAGGTCCCAGGCTGCAGCCACCCGGAGAAGCTGCAACCCCTGTGGTCCAAGGAAAGGGTTCCCTCTTCTCCTACTGCAGTCATTACTCCAATATTCCCCTTCCAAATTTCTCTCCTGCGCCGCAACCCAACTCCACTTTTCATCTGAAGGATACGGAACAGAGAGAGCAGTGTTAAAAGCTTACATTTTTAAGCCGGTAAGGTTGGTATTTAAACATATAAGTGGAAAACTAGAGTCCTTAAGGTAACAAAGGCTACAAAGGGAAGGGGCAGGGAGAGGGCAAGACATATTATATCCATATCAAGTCTGTTTAAATAGATTTTCATCTGCATAATATAACACATTCTGACAAGACCACCACCACCAATGTGGTCAGTGTTGTGCTGATAAATGTTTAACAACTGGCTCTCAACCAAAGAAAACAAAACTCTGACATATACTATCGGCCAATTTCTGTGGCATAAATTCTCCATCCATGGCTGATTTCAGCTGCTAATGTGATGCCACTAGATGTAGAGCTGAGGAGGAACATGCAGTAATACACTATTATATTCTACCAGAAAGACCCAAAAGATATAAATAATGTCAAGAGTCAGAACAGTGTAGTAAATAATTGAGAAGTGATGAATTTAGAGTATTTATTACCTTTGGTTTTAATATAATTTATTCACTTTTAAGATTATATAATTTAATTTTTAATAATAAACATGTTTAACAACCAGCTTACAAAATCCCTGAAAATTTGTGAGCCAGTAAGAGCACACTCTAGCACAGTGATGGCGAACCCTTTGAGCTCGGCGTGTCAGCATTTTGAAAAACCCTAACTTAACTCTGGTGCCGTGTCACATATAGAAATTTTTTGATATTTGCAACCATAGTAAAACAAAGACATATTTTTGATATTTATTTTATATATTTAAATGCCATTTAACTCTGACACACGTGTCATACGTTCGCCATCACTGCCCTAGCACAATGCTGAGTGGAGTGTAATGGTTAAATGGCATGGCTCATGGATTTGAAATGAGACTCAGCCACTTTCAGGTTTTACTGGTCAAGTTACCTGATCTCTCTATACCTCAGTGTTCTCTTCTGTCATTATAGTATCTACTGTATAGAGTTGTTGCAAAGATAAAATGAAATCTGTGTATGACACAGCACAGTACCTGAAACAATAATTCAATTTGTTACAAACTGTTACTGCCTCAAAACGTTGTTGACAAAATTACTCATGCTGAAAGAATGAAATTTTATCGATGAGAAAAATGCCTTATTTTGCGATCTACATGGAGACAGTCAATTTTACTTCCTAGGCAGTAGATGGTAATCTACTAGAAACTGCAAGGGGAAGAATGACCTCAATCAACATGATCGAGGCAATGCATTATTAGCTGGATCACAAAGCAGAGAGGATGCCATACATTCTGGGATACATCTGCAGTAAGAGGCTTCACCTCAGGTATTAATTCTGGTCAACTAAGCATCAGACTTGAGATGAATGGTGAGAAGGATTCTGAGGCTGCTTCTAGACTAGACTTAGCAGGAATAGAACTTTAATACATAAGCAACAGTTACTATGGTTAATGATAGCCAAAAAAAAACACACACCATGATCTATTCTAATAAAAGGGTAATATGCTAATTAGACGGCACTTCTTCTGCACGACCATCCGCACATCCTTCCTGACAAAGCAGGGCCGGGCAAAGCCACCTGCCAGCAGTCCCGGGCACCAGTGCCTACAGCTAGCTGTGGCCTGGGAGATGGAGAAGCCGCCCACCCTGTGGTCCCAGGTGCCAGCACCTGCGGCTGCAGCTCGGGCAAAGCCACCTGCCCACCATCCCCTGCAGCTGCAACCAGCTTGGGAAAAGCCGGCCTGGGTTCCATGTGCCTGTGGCTGACCACAGGGAGGGAAGCCCAGGTCCCAGGTCCTGGGTGTAGGGCTGATGCAGAGATGGTTAGGGGCAATCAAGCCAGCAGGGGAGCAGTTAGGGATGATCAGGCTGGCAGGCAGAAGCAGTTAGGGGCAATCAGGCAGGCAAGCGGTTAGGAGACAGGTTCTAGATTATGAGAGGGATGTCCGACTGAGGTAATTCCCTGGGAGGTCCCAAATTGGAGAGGGCGGAGGCCGGGCTGAGGGACACCCCCTCTCCCCCCCCCCCACTCCTGTGCACGAATTTCGTGCACCGGGCCACTAGTTATGTAATAAGTTCAAAGCTAGAAAACCCCATACCCAGCGGAGCGGCTCAGAACACGGAAAGCACAATTCGATTAGCTCCGTTGTACCCAGCCAGGCTAAGGGGCAAGATCGCACACTCCTCGGCAGGGCGCCTCTGCCAACACGAACAACAACAAAGGCAAGTAGAGGAGGCTACACCGGCTTCACTCAGCACTCGCCTGCCCAGCTCCCGAAAGCTCCCCGCGCCCCAGGGATCGAGGGGACCCCGCATCCCGCCCGCCGCCAGCTCAGCTTTTGTCTGGCCGGGCCGGGAGCCTCGCCGCCCGCCTCCCCGGCACCCCTTCCCTCTGGATCTCTCCACACCCATCACTCGCCGACTAGCTGTGGTGGGTTTCTCTCCCTTGCCCCCTCCCCGTGCGATTCCGGGGGGTCTTTCCCAATACGATTGGGGTTCGCTGGCTTCTCCCACCGGCCGGGTTGAGTCTGGTCAGGGGTGGGGTCTGGGAGAGGAAAGGAGAAAGGGGCACACAAAGCAAGCTGACCTCACAGCCGGCACCCTCCCCCAGCCTCTGCAAAGCAGCCTGGGACCGGCGATCCACTGGCATCGCCCCCACCCCGTCCCGGCGCCCTCCACCGCGGGGAGGCGCGGGGGCCTGGGCGGGCTGGGCTCTACCTCCCCTCGCCCTCACCGCACACTTGCAGCCGCATTATTCGCTCGAGTTGCCGCTGCCTTACCAGATCGCCGCCGCCTTCTCCTCCACCCTAATGAGGTTAAGTGCTTGGTGCTGGGATTAAAAAAAAAAAAAAAAAAAAGCCGAGAGCGCCTGCGCACTGCGCTCTCCCTTTTTCTCCTTACCGCCACCGACCCAGCGGGACCATAGAGAGTGTAAACCGAGGCCAGAGAGGCGGCTGCGTCTCTATGGTCACGCCCCGCGCAAGCGCAGGCTTGGCGGCGCCGGACGTGGAAGCTGGAATTCCGCGAGCTTTCGCCCTCGGAGCACGTCGGATGACCCTGACGGGGACCCGTAGAGGGCAGGTTCCCTAAGGAGTCGTGGCCAGGGTGCAGAATGGCTGCCGGGAAACTGGCTGCAAAACTAGGCTAAACCAGGAGGGTCGGGTCTAAGCGGCCAGACGGCAGGGCTCCGGAGAGCAGGCCGTGCGGTGCAAAGGGTCCAGGAGGACCCGCCTCGGGCCGGCTTCTGGCCCTGAAGGAGCCGGCCTTTCCCTTCGGGGTTGCGCGCTCCCCCGCCCGCGGACCCTCCGACTTTCCGTACCGCGTCCCTTTTCCTTCCTTTCTGGAGTTGGGGCGGCACTTGCGCCGGAAGCACACTTTTTAACGGTTCTTTGACCTGTTTGGAGCGGAGCCTGTTTGGTGGGACGAGCGTCTCCACGCCGCGCTGCCCCCGTCGCGTTTCCCTCTAGGACAGTGCTGCGGAGCCAGAGGGCGCGTTGTGAGGCTGCACCTAGGGTTTGCCGAGCAGGAGCCTGCGCTCGCCCGTACGACATTGTCAGCTTCGTGTCGACCCCACACCGCCTCGCGGAAACCCCTCGGTCCGAGTTGGCTCCCTCCATCGCCAGCGCATGGCGGAGTCCTGTGCGTTGCGTGCTCCCGGGCAGCTCTTGTGCGCCGCACGCCGTGCTGGGGGTTGTGTCCGGTTGGGGAGGGGCGCGGGAGGACGGCAGGTAACGCCCCGGCCTCCGGGCACACACGTCGGGCTGGGGAGACGGCTCAAACAGTAGAGACCTGTGTGGGCCCCTCTGCAGTGCGGCAGCGAGCACCGTGGGCCGCAGGAATAGGGTGTCATGGGGGTTTGGCTCCTGGGACCTGGAAGAGGTGACATCTCCAGGGCGAAAGCGCGAGCAGCCCTGTGAAAACGGGCGGGCGATGGGGAAAGCGCTCCGGGGCAGAGGCGCCGCGGGGCGCGGGCCCCGAGTGCGTGTTGCGCCGGGAGTGAAGTGAGAGCAGAGCGCACACGGGACGGGGGGAAGGAGGGTGTGATGAATGGAATGGGGGGTGTGGTCAGCAGCATAAAACGGACCGTCTGAACCATTTCTGAGTGCACAGCGGAGGTCAGGACACTCGCCGTGGGATGCAGCATCCCCTGAACTCTTCCTCCCATTAAATGAATTCCGTGCCGAGGCCCCGTTCCCCCAGCTCCTGCGACCACCCTCCTACTTTCTGTCTAAATGTGATTACTCGGGAGCCTCATGTAAGTGGAACCCCACAAACATATTGGGGGGGTTTTGCGTGTGACTGGCTTATTTCACCGAACGTAGCATCTTTAATGTTCACGCATGTTGCAACATGTGTCAGAATTTCCTGACTTTTTAAGACTGAATACTGTTCCATTGTTCGCCAGGTGGACACTTTGGTTCCTTGCACCCTTTGGCTGTTGTGAATGATGCTGTTGTGATCGGGGCAGTGCATAACTCTGCTCTCAATAGGATGGGGAAGATTTTGAAACCAAGGGGAGAAACCTATACAGTTTCAGGTCCTTCGCTTGGGGTAAGAACATGGTGAAAAAACTTAGAAACTGGAAGCTTAATACACACTCCCTTTATGTAAAGCATTTATGGAGGTTTTGAGATATGCCATACATTGAGTACTACTTTGGATAAATTGTTGATATATCATTAAACATCAAGATACTAGTACATGTGAGCCAATTGTTATTTACCACATCTTGTAGCTGCAAAAATTAGGTTTTGGAGTTACCGATGGGCTGAGAGGAGGCTAACCGACCACATACCCACAAGTGATTATGAAACAAAACTCCCATGGGAGCCCAGCACCAGGGCCACTGACCACTCACTAGTTTGGACAAGAATGTTGAGAGAAAGTATTCACATGTCAAGAGTGAATATTCCCAGAAGAAAGGACAGGCTGGCATCAAGAGCTTTCCCTGTCAAATGACTGGAGCTCAAACACCAAAACTGCATCTTCTGAAGTCCCTAAACGAGTATGGGAGTTAACTCCAGGTATGTTTATTGCCTTTAAAAAACACAAAATGTCAGGTAAGAATATCTTTGTAGGTAATATAAAAACACCACTTTCTAGTTAACACTTCATCTTTCATTTTGCATTCTAAAAAATCCTGTGAGATCATTTAAAGCAATAATTTCCTTTGGCAGGTGAGGAAATTGAGGGCCAGAAAGGGAAGTTATTTACCCAATGTCATATGGCTGATTGGTACCAAGACTGCCACTGAGAGCTGAACCCCTGGAGTCCCCTCTGTGCTGTGGGCTCCCTTGCAAAGATAGATAGCAGTCAGTGTCACCTTCCTCAGGAGTGCATGAAGCCAGTGCTGTTTAAACTGCATTATGAACAGCATTCATACACTCAAGAAGATTGTGTGCCAGACACTTGGCAAAGCAGGGGAAAAATTACTATTCTTAGAAGAGATAGAAAAATAATAAAATAGCCCTAACCGGTTTGGCTCAGTGAATAGAGAATCAGCCTGCGGACCTGAGGGTCCCAGATTCGATTCCAGTCAAGGGCATGTACCTTCCTTGTGGGCACATTCCCAGTAGGGGGTGTGCAGGAGGCAGCTGATCGATGTTTCTCTCATCGATGTTTCTAACTCTATCCCTCTCCCTCTCTGTAAGAAAAAATCAATAAAATATATTCTTCTTAAAAAGAAAAATATATCGGGTAGGGTAAGTTTTGTGGGAAAAATGAAGCGGTGAGGCAGTAATGGAGAATGCTGAGGAACGATTTGTTTAGTTGCTTCAAGAGGGGAGGGAGGCTCACTGAGAAGAAAACAGCAAAGACCTGAAGGAAGCGAGGGAACAAGCAATGTTCTTTATTTGGGAAAAGCATTCCAGGTAGGAAGAATGGAAAGTGCACAAATTATTCTGAGGCGGGGGATGTCTACTACATTCTAAGAACAGAAAAGAGGCCAGGGAGACAGAGCAGAGCATGGGAGAGGAAAAGGAGGAAATGAGGTCATAGGTAGCAGGATGCCAAGTTGTATAGGGACTAGGGCATTGTGAGAGGAAGCCTTTTAAAGAATCACTTTTATTAAATAAAAGAATCACTTTAGGTCGTAGCAAATTTGGCTCAGTTGATAGAGCACAGGCCTGTGGACTGAAGGGTCACATGTTCCATTCCTGTCAAAGGTTCGATCCCCAGTAGGGCTCGTACGTGAGGCAGCTAATCAGTGGTTCTCTCTCATCATTGATGTTTCTCTCCCCTTCCTTCCTCTCTGAAAGCAATAAAAATAAAAGAATCACTTTAGCTTTTGTTTGAGAATACATTGTAAGGGATCAGGGGCGGGGACAGAATGCTGCTGTAGACCAAGTGAGAGACTGGTAGGTGGCTTGGGCAAAGTGCAAGCATTGGAGGGGTGAGATATCTGGGTATATCCAAATAAAACGATACACAAGATTTGATTGATTAATGCATGAAGGGTGTGAGAAAAAGAAGAGTTAGATGCCTGAGCCACTTGAAGAATAGAGTTGCCATTTACTAAAATGGGAAAGAATGGGAATAGATTAATTTTGGAGGTGTTAAGGTTGAAATGCCTATTAATGTGGAAATATCAAGAAGGTCATATGAATCAAGTTCAGAATAAAGGTACAAGCTGAATCTAAGTCTGGGAGACATAAAAGTTATGTGAGGATCCTTGGAGCACTCAAGCATTTCAGGGATTGAGATGGTTATGAAACCAAAGGAGACGGCAGCCACTGAAATACGAGGAAGCCATGGAAGGAAATCAGGACAAGCAACCAAGTCAATTGCCAAGAGGCTATATTGACCTTTGGCTCTCACATTGGAGTAGTGAGGATGAAAGCCTGATGGGAACGGCTTCAGAAAAAAGGGTAGAGCCTGACTGGTTTGGCTCAGTGGATAGAGCGTCGGCCTGCAGACTGAAAGGTCCCGGGTTCGATTCCAGTCAAGGACATGTACCTTGGTTGCAGGCACATCCCCAGTGGGGGGGTGGGGAGGGATGCAGGAGGCAGGTGATCGATGTTTCTCATGGATGTTTCTAACTATCTCCTTTGTAAAAAAATCAAAATATTTTTTTAAAAAGGGGTAGAAACAGAACTGGAGAGAGGGAAGATAGGTAATTTGAAGGAGGAATTTAGTTTTAAGATTAGGGGAGCAATAAAGTGGGGTGATGCTTTGTGGGAGCACTGGTCCTGGGAGACTGGGTATTAGATGGAGAAGGAATGAGAAGCCGTAGACATATAGGAGAAACTTTATTGTAGATCAAGTAACCGTTGCTAACAAGGAGCCATCAGACAAAACAGTTCTTCAAAGCAGCTCCACAAAGCAGCCGCAGCAAACAGGAGCCCGCATAGCAGCCGCTAATAAAGCAGTCCAGCAAGCGGCCGTCAACAGCACATCTTTATACCAACTCAGGCAACAGAGGCTTCTTGCCAAACAGCGGCGTCAGCATTTGGGTTATAGAAAGGTGCACCTGCGCAGTGTGTGCAGGAAGACTGCCGTGTCCTTGCTTCTGCATCTCTGCATGTGGCAAATTGGCCTTGAACATCCCACTGACTGACGGGCTCCCACACTCACGTTGGTCTTGAACATCTGGACAGGGCCCCCACATACTTCAAGGTCAAGAAAGTAATTTTTATGTCACCCATAAATACAGTATTTCTAAGTTACTAGTAAAAATTTTTATAAATATAACCTCAATACCACTATCTCACCTAAAAATAATTCTAAAAAACATTTATCATGTTAGATCTCCTTAAATGTTTATTTTTGCTACCAGATTTACTGAGATATAATTCAAATACCATACAATTAGCTCATTTAAAGTATACAACTTAATGAATTTCTAGTATCATCTACCCTGTCAATCTTTAAATTTTCCTGTCTCATACGTTTTTGCTACCAGATTTATTGAGATATAATTCATACATATAATTTGCCCATGTAAAGTATACAGTTCAGTAGTCTTTAGTACATTCAGAGTTGTGCAGTCACCACCACAATCCATTTTAGAACATTTTCATCACCCCACAAAGAAGATCTATACCCATTAGGAGTCACTACCCATTTTATTATTCTTCCCATCTCATGCAATAATGTTCATTCCAAAGCCAAATTTATCATCAATCATTAAATCCAATAAGTTAAAAGCATTGTGAGAACAGGGAGATTATGCCAAAAGCCTTGACTCCTAAATTGTAATTCTTGGCTGTGCCTTCTCTCAGCTGGTCACATTCTCAGGGTCTTATCCACAGAGTAAAATATTGCACTAATGGTTTCTAAAGGCACACAAGCTTTATGATTTTATGCCTTTTTATTATCATTACAATTTTGAGGATGACAATTTTTATTAATGTCATCGGCTCTTCCTGTTTTTCTCTGCTTTCTGATTATGTTTTACTCAGCAACTGATTTATAGATACCTGGCCTCCAGGTATCAGTTCCTATAAGAAGTGCAGCTTAATGCATATAAGCATAACCAATGGACATAAGACACTGGGGGATAGGGGAGGCTAGGGGACTGTCTTGGGAGGGGGGAAAAATGGACACATATGTAACACCCTTTGTAATAAAAAATAAATAAATAAATAAAATAAAAATTTTTAAAAAAAAAGGACAAAAAAAAAAGAAGTGCAGCTTAGCCCTAACCAGTTTGGCTCAGTGGGTAGAGCCTTGGCCCACGGACTGAAGGGTCCCGAGTTCAATTCCGATCAAGGGTATGTATCTTGGTTGCAGACTCGATCCCCAGTAGGGGTTGTGCAGGAGGCAGTTGGTCGATATTTCTCTCTTATCGGTGTTTCTAACTCTCTATCCCTCTCCCTTCCACTCTGTAAAAATCAATAAAAAATATATTTAAAAAGTAACTGCAGCTTGGTCATAGAAAACTTGCTAGATCAAAATATGAGCAAGTGATCATCTCAGGGTGGTAAGATTATTGATTATTTTTAAACTTATGCCATATTCTTTGCTTTATTCTACAAACATATTTTTTATAATTTTTAAAAGTCATTCCTAAAGAATTTGATGGAATGCCCTAACAAACAGAAATTGCTAAACTCTGGGTAAGAGGATTTCCCCCCCTGTGATTCAGTTAAGCAGTATCTTCCAGTCTAGGGTAGCCAAAATACTTTAGTAACCCTCTTCAATAATCTCAGGGAAAAAGAAAGTATGGCCCTACTGGTTTGGCTCAGTGGATAGAGCATCAGCCTGCATGCAGACTGAAGGGTCCCGGTTTGATTCTGGTCTAGGGTACATGGCCGGGATATAGGCTTGATGGGACGTGCAGGAGAGCTGATCAATCTCATCATTGTTGTTTCAATCTTTCCTTCCCTCTCCCTTCCTCTCTGAAATATATATGAAAATATGAGGAGAATTTGAGATATTGCTCCCTAGCATATTTGCCAGTTTGGCTCAAATAAACTTTTTTTTTTTAAATACATTTTATTGATTTTTTTACAGATAGGAAGGGAGAGAGATAGAGAGTTAGAAACATCGATGAGAGAGAAACATCGATCAGCTGCCTCCTGCACATCTCCCATTGGGGATGTGCCCGCAGCCCAGGTACATGCCCTTGACCGGAATCGAACCTGGGACCTTTCAGTCCGCAAGCCGACGCTCTATCCACTGAGCCAAACCGGTTTCGGCTCAAATAAACTCTTATAAAAATTAAAGTAAAAAGAAAAAAAGTATGCCTATAGAAATTTAAATTCAGCAATTCATATATCAACATCTGTGTAATAGTCCACATGGAGTCTGGCTTTGCACTACTTGGGGAACAGGTAGTCTCTGCTAGAGAAGTAATGTGTGTCACAGAAATGTGTGGGCAAAAGCAGGGTGTGTCTTTTATACGTGATAGAAACAGATTAGAAAGTAGTTTGCTAGTTCATGTTTGTAACCACTCCCTGGAGTGCAATTACTCTCATTATTTAGTTTGCATGGTAAGTATCACCCACTGAAGGACAATGCAGGTGTCTGGCTTACCTCTCATGAGTTGTCTTATGCTGCCAGTGTGACCCTCTTTAAACACTACAGTGGTAGTTACCAGAGAACTGTTACAGATTCGGGGGTGCCCTCATGGCCATCAATTCACTATGAGTCCCAAAGAAGTCACTTAGTCTAGTCAGAAGCATTAAGTTCACTTCAGTGGAGAGGATAGTTCCAGTTGCCAGTGTTGTCACAACTAGTGAAATTGATGCTACAAAATCCACTTGTCAGTAACCATGGCAGAGTGAAAGTCAGTGTTCTTACCTTAAGAAGCATGACAAATCCATGTGGTCTGTGGACAGCTCTGATGCAAAGCAAATGACCAAGTATCCCTTTAAACATTCCCTGTTGCCAGTGTGTCATAATCCGGACCTGTTCAGGCTTTCAGAGGAGCAGTCCTTACCTAGTAAAGTCAACGGGCAAATGCCAACAAGTAGGTAACCGGACATAGAGTTTTCCTTTTGAACCGCCATCA